AGATCTGACTTTTATCTGACTATTCCTTAATTTAAGATTATGAATCAGATTTTGTTTTTGGTCTCTTTTATGTCTTGATAACTAATTAGTATGTAGCTGATCAGGCTTAGTTTGATATGTTCAATTTTCTTACAATCTTTTGTTTTTGGACCACTTAATAGTCTATGTCTTAACGTAGGTTTTAGGAATTCGACATCTTTGTTTATGCTTTTATGGCATTGGCTTAACTGAATTGTCAGTCATGTTGTCGGTGAAGTTGTAGGGTTTTAAATTGTTGCAGTCATTTTTGATATTAAATTTATGTGTAGACTGTCTTTTGATCACTTCACCTTTCTTATGATGCTGTTTTATCTGGGAAATTAACGGCACTTGCATGGTTTTGTTAACCGATTTATTTATTTTTATGTGCAGGCTTATTGATTCCTTCAAGTTTCAGACTTATCTGGGAGTCGGATCCGATCTTGGAATGATGATGTTTGATGAGATGAGTATTTGTGGAGATATGGATTCTTATGTGCTCCCCTTGGGGAAAAGATGTGGCGGTCCAGCGGATGGAAGTAGAGGCCGCAGTAGAGGATGATTTTTCTGATGAAGAGGTTGATGTCGATGAACTTGAGAAGAGGTTGTGGAGGGACAAAATGCGGCTGAAACGGCTCAAGGAACAGCAGAAGGGCAAGGAGGTGATTGATATCGCCAAACAGCGTCAGTCCCAAGAACAGGCGAGGAGAAAGAAGATGTCCAGGGCCAGGATGGGATATTGAAGTACATGTTGAAGATGATGGAGGTTTGCAAGGCTCAAGGTTTTGTTTAGGGATTATTCCGGAAAAGGGAAAACCGGTAACTGGAGCATCTGACAATCTTCGAGAATGGTGGAAGGATAAAGTCCGGTTTGATCGTAATGGTCCTGCTGCTATTGCCAAGTACCAGGCAGATAATTCGTTTCTGGCAAGAACGATGGCTGTAACTCCACTGGCCCGATCCCGCACACCTTGCAAGAACTTCAAGATACAACGCTTGGCTCTCTTTTGTCTGCACTGATGCAGCATTGTGATCCCCCAGAGGCGGTTTCCTTTAGAGAAAGGTGTTCCCCCACCATGGTGGCCTACTGGCAATGAGGAATGGTGGCCACAACTTGAATGCCCAAAGATCAAGTCCCTCCTCCTTATAAGAAACCTCATGACTTGAAGAAAGCTTGGAAAGTTGGGGTTCTCACGGCAGTAATCAAGCATATGTCGCCTGATATTGCCAAGATTCGCAAGCTCGTAAGGCAGTCTAAGTGCTTGCAGGACAAGATGACAGCAAAGGAGAGTGCAACATGGCTTGCTATCATTAACAAGGAGGAGGCTTTGTTACGAGAGCTCTACCCTGATTCCTGCCACCACTGTCCTCGGGTGGAGGAAGTGGGAGTTTTGTTCTCAACGACTGCAGTGAGTATGATGTTGAAGGGGCTGAAGTTGAGCCGAACTTCGATGTGCAAGAGCTTAAACCCGGGAATCTCAATGCATTCAATTGGGTAATACAATGAGGACCGTTCAACAACAATCATATCCTAGTACTGGAGTTGTCAATAATCTGGATTTCATGCGAAAGAGGAAACCGTCTGATGATTTGAACATGATGGACCACAAGATCTACACTTGTGAATTCCTGCAGTGCCCTTATAATGAACTTTGCATGGGATTTCATGACAGGATTGCCAGGGACAATCATCAGTTAACTTGTCCGTACAGAAACTCCTCCAGACAGTTCGGTGGTTCAAATTTTAACGTGAATGAAGTGAAACCAGTCAATTTCCCTCAACCTTTCGCGCCATCCAAGCCGGCTGCACCATCTATTACATCTGTTACAACACCCTATGACCTATCAGGACTTGGTGTTCCAGAAGACGGGCAAAAGACGATCGGCGAGCTCATGTCAATGTATGAGAACAACATGCAAGGCAACAAGAACATGAATTCTGGAATCAATCTAGTTACCGAAGGTCAAAATATCCTTCAGCCGAAAAATGCAACAGCAACAGGATGAATTCTTCGGCAGTCAAGTCATGGTGGGGGGAAATTTCTTCGGGGAATCCAGCATGCCTCGTAACCATCAGATATTTTCGCAAGGGGAAGGGCAATTTGACCATTTTAAAGCTCTGAATCCTCCGTCCGAGACCAACCACAATAACAACAGCTTCCAGATGATGTGTTGGTTCTCCGTTTGATCTTTCTTCTTTGATTCCAAGGAGGATCTACAAGCAGCTGGGGTGGATACCATGCTGAAGCAGGATGGTCCATTCTGGTATTGAGTAACAAAGTTCTGATCACATTTGGCAGCTCACCACAGTTTTCTTGCAGGAAGATCTACCTTTTACTTCCCCTAATGTCTTTCTACACAGAACTAGCTACAAACCACATTTTTTTATTTGGTTTTTGTATTTTTCTTAATGCTTGTAGAAGCTAGCAAGTTTAGCAGGTCTTCATATTAGGCTTTCAATAAAACAAAAAGCCCATAATCCTGCTATTGATTTACATAGGATGCTACTTTTTCCAAATAAGTTTTATGTATTGTCACTGTTTTTTCTTCCCCTTCCATTTTCACTTGTTAATCAGGTTATACCATTCTCATGTTTTGTAGGCTTCTGAGTGTTTTTGTCCTGTAATGGGTACATAGTTGACAGGTTGTGTTGAATGGAAACTGTTTGTCTTTTAGTGTAGACCTATCCTTGTTGTTCATCCCTCAGCAGTTAATGCAAAGAAGATGGTTAAGGATCCTGTCTTTGGTGGAAGATGGAACCGGTCTGGTTTGTGCCAAGTGTGCCAGTGTTTGGTGGGTCGGCTTTCTTTGGCTTCGTTCAAAGTTTGGAACTTTTCTTTTCAATGGTCCCCATTTCAGTAAAAAATAACAAAAGCCAAGAAATAAAATATTTCATTTCCACCCAAAGGAAAAAGGGGCAACGATCCAAATATTCTTGGCGTCATGGTGTTTTATATATATATATCTATGTATATGTTGCATATGAGGTTTTATCTGCAAAATTCATCTCCCCTTTTAGTATTTTGGGTCCTTTCTTTCATACAAAGCCAAGATCACATGGCCATGGTACGTGGCTTAAAAAGGAGTATTATAATTTATTTTTGTGGCTTAAAAAGGTATTATAATACATTTTATCTTGAATTAGAATTGATTTTTATTGTGCATTCAAAATAAGATTTTATAGTGTAAATATCATATTTCCTGTCTTAAATTAGAATTGGTTTGTCTTTTTTTCTTGTGTATTTAATATAGGATTACAGTTTAAGTATCGTACTTTATGTCTTAAATTAGAATTGATTTCTTAAGATGGTTATGTCATTTTTCTTGGGCATTCAAGAATTTGTCTACAAAAATTATATACGATTGATTGATTCTTTTATCATTGTGTGGTCAAAGATATAATTATAAACGACAAGGGAAACAAGATAAAAACAACAAATTATGATTTTCAATTAAAAGAAAATCTTAAATAAAACCTACAAATCATTTTTACTATCTTTAAATTATTTATGGCAACACGTGACGACAATCATCTTTAAAAATAATAATTAAAATTGTATAACAAATAAAATTCACCTTTTAACCATAACGAATACAACCTATGTTGTTCAAATGCGGATCTGATGTCCACCACGAACATGCAGATGATTGAGGATAATCAAATTTTAAAATAATATAATACTCTTATGTCATAATTTTATATTCATATTTGATAAAAAAAAATCGTATATTTATATTTAAATATACATCAGACATCCTTTCCAAAAAAAAAATAAAAAAAATTCAGACCTACGTTTACACAGAATTCAAGAGCAAGTTCAAAATTGTTGTTGCGGGATCGAGGAGGCGGGTGACGGTGGTTCGGCGGTGGCGGTGGCGGAGTTGGAGAGTGGGTTGATTAGGGTTTAAGATTGAGATGAGTATTCGATTGAGTTGATTTGAGTCTAAATATTTCGAATTAGTTGAATTGACGAATCTTATTTTATAGTTTAAACTTTATTTCGATTTTTTTTTCTAGTCGAGTTGTTCGAGTTTTTGTTTAAATTTAACTGTAAATATTTATAATGTTACGATATTATTTCATTTTAGTTTAACCGATTTTCTATAACCATATATATATATTGGTTTTTTTTTTATTTTTCATATGTAATATATATTATATCATGTAGAGTTAAAGATTCGACTCGAACTTGAAAATCAATCTAATAATTACTAAAAGTTCAAGTTATTCAAGCTCTATTTTATACCTTGACTTGAATTTGATTTTTTTAATTAATTAAAATGAATAAAATCATGAGTAAAATTAAATTAAATTAAAAAAAAATTCGAGTGAAATCAAATTGTACTCCCCAAATTTAAAACTATACATATAGGAGATGAAAGGCTTGGTAGGGCTGAGAAGTTTTTATACATAAAAGTAGGCGAAGTAGCCTAGGAGGGAATACTTGGGTTTGAGCCTATAATCCATCATTTAATTACCCAGGTCCAATAGGTTAGGTGTTAGAAGATGACTTAACCCCACATTTTATTTGAAATCTCTTGTTCTGTTTCTTCATTTCTGCCATTAAATAAAAACATTATTAGAATATTATTACTCTCATATTATATATTTTACATTAAGTCATATCAATAATTAGTTATTACAGTAAGATGAGATATTAAATTTTTTAAACAAAACTAAGAGTATGAATCTTAATATTGTAAATGTAATAAATTAAGTTACGAAAATTACATTTAATATAGACTTTTATAATATCTAATTTGAATTAATCAACCAATAAATAAAATACTAATGAATATAAAAAATATTACATCAAAGTCATGAAACACATTACACTATGCATCTTTCTTGGTAACGATATATATATATATAAATTCCTGCATTCAAATTGAAATTTTACACTTTTGAAATTACAATCTTTTTATAGAAAAATAATTAAATAAATCGTATCTTATAAATTTATTTAATTGAAAATCTGTCATGTATGCCACTACTATGTATATAGAATAAAATATTACATTCATGGCGCACTATCCCTGCAACCAAACACTCTAACTGTACCAATTGCTACAATCTTTACCAGAGATCAACTCCATAATCGCAATCCTTTGATACAATCCTGGACGCCGCCGTTAACCTGTCCACCGTAATCTTGCACGTCACTTTAACATTAATTTTCCACGTCTTAAAGGACCCACTTTGATCTTAACTGGCGCTCTCAGCTTCAAACGAAACGGCACCGCTCTCTTGTTTTGCTGGTCGGAAAGAGCCCTAAGCGCGCCGTTTGTTAGTTCAATTGCAGAGCCCTTTAAAGCTGTTTTGAACACCGTTACGTTATTCGTCGGCTGGTAAAAAGCTGGCAACCCGCCTCTACAGAGGTTAATGTCTTCGTAGTAAACTTCAACGGAGCTGCCTTTATCGTAGTAAATGCCAATTTTGTCGTTGGGGTTGTGTGCCCGGACGGTGATGTCGAATTCAGGAGAGATCGGAGATGATGAATTCAAGTTGAATCCCTTGATGACAACGTTCTCGACGGAGTAATTTGGAGACTCGGGCTTGTAAACGAAGTAAATCACCGCGGCAGCAATGGCGGATACGAGGAGTAGGACGATGACGGTAATCAACAAGCAGAAACAGCAGCTGCGACAGCTACTCCGACGAGCCTTCCGTTTGGATAGATGCTCATAGCGGCGCGCGTTATCCGGAGAAGGGACGCGGTAGATTTGGTCCTTGGGAATTTGGATGACGTAAGTTCCAGGTTGTGGAGCAGGTTTCTCGGGGGACGAAGTTGCTGCTTTTGAAGTTGGGTATTCGCCGGAGGTGGGTGGAGAATCGGCCGGGTGGACTCGTTCGGCCATCGCGATGTTAACTCAGTAGATCCTATAAGAAGAAAGATGGAGAAAGCGGCAGTTCAGTGTTTTGATTGTCAGAGACAGAAAGCAGAGGTTTAAATACTAAAGATTTACGCGGTTTAGGGGGGAAAATATCCGGATTTCATTAAAACAGGGGCGTGTAAATTGACTGTAATCTTAATCACTAAAGTCACTTTCCTCTACAATAACCATTGCACTTTCCATAAAAGAAACAAACAAATTAATGATAATATTTTCCCGCGAACTAAACGGTTACATTGCTTTGGCACACTGAATCAACTCGTAATGCAATGACTATTCCATCGAACCAAACGCGGCAATAACCAGCTAGAAGTCGAATTTAAAGATTGAACATGCAAGAAAAAAAAATGTAACAATGGAAGAACATACCTGAAAATAAAGAGAAATCAAAAGTCCAACAAGCTTTTATTTTCGTTGCTCAATGCTTCTGGTGCCGTATACTGATAACTTGATAGAAGAATAAAGGGTTTGGAGAGCTGGCCAGTATGATGAATGAATCAAAGGGATTTATTTTGCTTTTTAGAGAGCGAAATGTCAGGAAATGGCGTCTTATCTGATGTGTGGTTGGCGTACGTGTTTCTTCATTATTGGGTTTTATCTGCCGCTTTTCATTGTTCCTCCCTGTGGAAGAATTCAACGTGTGCCACTTGGCATTGGGCCCCTTTTCCAATTTTCATTTTTGAGGGATAAATATATTATTTTTTTATTCACAAATTTTCAGTTGAGAAAAATGACAAGAGAGGCACGTTTCACCGTTAATGATATTCAGACATAATTCCCTCTTCTGTTGGTTACTTGGTTTACTCAAAATGAGAAGGAAACACGACACCAATTAGAGTAGTAAACAAATGTTAGTGTAATATAATTTAATATATCATGTCAAAATATGATTGGAGCGACATGAATAGGAATATTAAGTGAGTGGAATAGTTCGAGTTTAATTTAATTAAAATTCGATCAATTTTTTACTCGAGTTGACTTGATTAGAACTCGAATTCGACTTAAGAACTTAATAAATCGAATCGAAAAATATCTAACTCAACTCGATAAATTCACATACATATCGTTAATTTTTTATTATTTTATCTTAAGATGTTGATTTTCTCAATTTTAAGATTAATTATGTATTGACAACTCAAGAATAGTTGTAATATGTTAATTTGATGTTTCTTAATTGTTCCTTTGAATGTAATATGTTTGTTTGGTGTACTTGGGTTTGTAAATTGTTAGTTTGGAGTTTAAAATTTGAAATTGATTGACACACTTTTTTAATTTTTTTTTTTTTTTGGCACAAAAAAGTTTAGTTCAGTAATTGCTCCCACAGTCCAGGACATACCTTTATGAATGACTCTCTCAGTCAAAGGCATATTTAAGACTCAATTAGAATTTATATAAAAATTTACAGATTGCTCACCAAGAGTGACGGTGGTATAACTATTTTGATTTTCTTTGTTAAACTATATTTATATTAAGCTCTATATACTATTAATAGATTTTACATATATTAAAAAGAACTAGATTTTACATATACTTAAAAAAAGATAAAAATTCTAACGAATTCAACAAATAAAAAGTATAACCGGGTAATGATTTTTTTTAACGAGCATGAATCGAGTGAAATTTTATCGAACATCGAGTCAGATGAATGAAACAGTTTTTGAGTCAAGCACTTCTCAACTCATCGACTCCCGAAAAACACCCCTAGGCATGGGAAGAGGGCAAAATATTTTTGTTCTTGCTCAGTGCCCACAAATTGAAAAGCCCCAAAACATTCTCAAACCTGATAGCCTGGGTTGATGTTCTTCATTATGCCTGCCACAGAAACTAAATTAAGCCTACCGTTTTTGAACCTATAAATGTGGTTAGGAAGTTCAAAGATGGGCTGCAAAAGGCATCTCCACCAACTCTTGTGTTCTTTGTTCCACTAGAATGTTTAAGATTAGGAAATATGAGGTAAAATGTAAAGAAACATAGGGCTGTATAAGAAGGCTTGTATTACATGGAATGAGTCGAATGAAGAATATACCTAAAGTTACAGTCATAAAGAAGGGTTAAAAAGGAATGGTCAACCCACCATCTGAAACTTTATTCCTTCCCACTAACCCTATCCGAATGATATTTACTACACGAATGGAAGTAAAGAACCAATAAATGGGGGTTTAGTAGTTAAGCTACGCGGTTATAACCCCTTTTGTTTACCTTTCTGTGACATGATTACCCAGAGATCTTCGTAAACTGATTTCATATCGGGCCTCTCTTGTGCCGGTAGGATGCATCTCAGAGCCACCTGTAGCATGCCATCCAGCGTTCTCTGCGTGTCTTCAACGTAATCCCTTTCCAATATCATAGGATCGAAGCAGTCACTGGAACGGTTTTCCGATGCTAACAACCTCACCCAGTCAGTTAGATCAACCATACCTGTGCTCCCTGAAACTATCTCTCCCGAACTCTTTCCTGTTAGAAGCTCCATTAGTATAACCCCAAAGGCATATACATCACTTTTTAAGGATGGACATGGTTTGCTTGAGCTAGCAAACTCAGGGGGGCGATAGCCAAGAGCACCTGCATTCAGAACTTGTTCAGCGGTGCCTGCTGACGTCAGTATCCGATGGAGACTGTAATCAGTGAGGCGTGCATTCAAATTTGGAGTTTCTAGTAAAATGTTTGTAGACTTGAGGTTGCCGTGGGGTATTGCGCTCTCATTGTGCAGGTAGTTCAGACATCGAGCCACATCTATTACAACCCTAAGCCGCTCGTTCAGAGACAAGGGCGGTGGTTTTCCTAGCTTTGTCTCTGCAGAAGAATTTAAGAAACATTAATTGTGAAACTCAAAACTGCGGTGCATATATATATATATCATGAGAAAAACAGAAAGTATTCAAGATTGAAGGCTTATGCAATTCCATTCCTGAATACAGTTCAATCTACAGAATCAAATGACCTAATATAACAATAAGACAGTACTGTTTTGTGTACTTCTCTTCTATATTTCCTACAATCTTTCATATTAATCCAGATTTAGACTCATCAATTATATTTCTGTTACAAAGTCGTTTCGAACTCTGCTGTACCTAAACTATGATAATTCATGCAGTTTTGTGTGCACTAGACTATTAACAATGCAGAATATGAAAGAAAATCAAGATCCTGGAAATTCGACCAGCACGGAAACTGTCACCTAACATAGGCAACAAATTGGTTTCTCATCTTACCTTGAAGATAGAACGCCAAACATTGAGCATTTATGTAATTTGATATGATCAACTTCTCATGCTCCTTGGGATCCCAATAATAACCCTGAAGAGAAACTAAATTTGGGTGTTTGATGTACCCGAGTTTCTTCACTTCCCTCGCGAATTCCTTTTTACCTTTTGCCGTCCCTTCCTTCAACCATTTGATAGCCATTACATTACCAGAGTCAAGTGTAGCTTTATACAATGTACCGTGGCAACTCCTTCCAATAATTTCAGCCGGAGCACGTGAAAGTTCGTCTGCGGTCAGTGTCAGAGATCCATCAAAGAGATGCAGATCCCCGGCCAGTTTATCAGGAGAACGAACCTTTAGTGCATTCGAACTCTCAAATGGAAATTGGTCTTTTGGTGGAGATGCATTTGAAGACGACAATATATACATTGGAGAAGCCAAACCATCATCTCTTCTTGTGGACTCGAGATGACCAAGATATTTAGGGTCATTTAAGACGAGGATGAATCCTTGCTTCTGTAAGGTGCTGATGTATAAGAATGGGAATACTCTCCTTGATGTACAGTTTCTTTGATGCTGTTTCTTTTCAGGCCCTCGCTTGTAGTTTCCTGCCAGTTGTTCCTATAATAAATCATTACGCTCACAAGAGCTATTATAGCAGCACCACCAACCAAGCCTACAATCATGGCAATTCTGGTGACAGGTTTCAGCTGAGACCCGTGAGCCTTCAAATTCAGGTCGGAAGAACCTTTTGGCGACAATGGAAAAGAAACAAACTTCAGTAAGGAGTTTCCGGGATGGAATGATGAGTTGGGATATCCCCTCATGTTTTCAGGTACAGCACCAGAGAAATTATTAAAAGACACATTGAATCCTTTCAGTTCATTAGGAAGACTATCAGGGATGCTACCCTCGAATTTGTTATTGGATAGGTTAAGAACCTCCAAGTTATGGAACTTGGCGATTTCCAGGGGCAAGCTGCCAGTTAATGAGTTATAAGACAGATCAAGAGTCACCAGGCTAAAATTTTCTGCAGAACTTATGGAAGGCATGTTCTTTATGTCCTGAAGAGGTAGTGAACCAGTAAAGTTATTGCCTGAAAGATTGAGATCAGTCAATTTTGTTGACATGAAGAGGCTGGGAAGGAGAGATCCGTTAAGGTGGTTGAGGCTAAGATCGATGACCTTTAATTCTGGGTATGTACCTAAAATTGCTGGAAGCACACCTTGTAATGAGTCGTTTGATACCCTGAATGTAGTCAGCCTTAAAAACTGAGAAGTTTGGTTCGGCAAGGTCCCAGTCAGAGAGTTTGAATTGAGTTCAACAACTTCAACATAATTCCCCCAGCCTTCAATTCTTGACAAGTCCCCTGAGAGTATGTTGTTACTGAGGTCTATGACGGCACAATGCCCTATCCTATATGGTAAGGACCCCGAGAGTTTGTTTGATGATATGTTGAGCTTCTTTAGAGTTGATGAGGTTATACTTCCTACTGGCCCTGCATGGATGTGGATTCATGAAGAAAAAAATTGTTTGAAAATATAATAGACTGGAACCAGAAGTAATCAGCATATGAAACCTTAAAGAATCGACTTTGAACTACACATACGGAATCGATAGAAAGGACCTACTAATTTTTGATAAACGAAACAATGTAAAAGGTAAACCTCCAAGATAAATAATATGAAATACACTTGCTAGCTGTAAATTTCTTTTTACATATTTTAACTACATTTAAGGTCAAGGTGTGATACTATTTTCAAACACTTAGTGTAACTTATTGTCATGTTGCATAGCTACCATGTTAGTTTGATCATCTCTCAAATGATCCGAGGCAAACTTGTTTGCAGTTTTAGGAAGCCAGAAAAGGAAAACATATATTTTCTACCCTAGTTTAGTTCAAGATATGGAGACTATGATGTTTTCTGAAAGCTGGAAGAAAAGAAGCATATGTTATAGGTACAGAGGCATAATGCGACGCTCCAAGAATGCCATTGCACTGCACATTACTTAATTAGCAATGCAGTGTAAAATTTATGATATAAAGCAAACTAGGATTGAATAGCACAATACATTGACAGATACA